CCGCTGTGAGCCAATCATCAGCTGGCAGCTGGAAGTTTGCTGGCAGCTGGAAGTTTGCTGGGGCCCCCTCGGCTGTGGCTCTCAACACACCTGTTGTGAGAGATGAGAAATCTGAGGCAAAGAGGGATAAGAAACATGTCCACATCACAGAGCTGGGAAATGGTAAATGTTCTACTCAAGGCTGGGCCCAGAGCCTGTCCTCTTGACCATAAACTAGTCCTACTGTCCCACAGGGGACTCCAGGATGTATCTCATGGGCTCTTCCTCCAGTTTCCATTCTGTCCTCGAAAGAGACCTCTGCTTTAATAACAGGGTTTTCGCACTTTGATACATTGGGGGTTTAATGAGTAGCCAACCTTCTTACCCGTGTAAGAAACTAGACTTGACCCTCAGCCCTGTTGCCAGGGATCTTTAGCGGTGACTTTGAGTCGAGGTATTGTTCCCCCATACTCAGGGGCGACTGGAAGGCCAAAGGTGCTTGGGAAAGCTGGGCCAGAATCCTGGAGGTCTTCTCTTCTCTAAGAACCACCCCCACAATGAAATATGGCTCCATTAGCAAATTAATAGTACAGACCAGTACCTGTGACAACCCAGGGTGACCAGCACAACCTCCATCTCAAACCTGTGTCTAATCCCCAGGCCAGGCGCTCTATAGACTTTCTGTCACACAATTCTTTCAATAGTCCCATGGAACAAGCATGAGACAGGAGGAGGATCGCAAGTTCAAAGCCAGCCTCAGCCCCTTAGCAAGGCCCTAAGCAACTCAGTGAGACCCTGTCTCTAAATAAAATACAAAATAGGGCTGGGGATGGGGCTCAGTGGTTAAGCACCCCTGGGTTCAATCCTCAGTACAAAATAATAAAGAGGTCAAGGGCTTCCGCAACAGCCTTCTTGTAAGTGGCTGAGCCAGGATCTCAGCTCTTGCATTTTGTAATGCACTCAATTGTCTCTCCTAGAATCCCAGATAAAGACAGCAGCCATTAACAGTTTTGCTCAGCACGGTGTTATGTATTTCATGAATTGTCTCATCTAATCCTAAAACACACACACACACACACACACACACACACACACACACACACACGAAAAAAAAACTTGGAAAATAGGTATTGAGAGTTACCATTCCAGTTTCACCCATAAGGAAAGTGAGCCGCAGAGCAAGGAAGTCAACAAGATCTGTCATGTGTTAAGTGACAAACCTGAGGCTCAAACCCGGATCTTTCTGCCTCAGGGTGCAGTACCTAGCTGCTGCCACTCAGCTGTCAGCAGATGAAGACATGAGGGTGTGGGGCTGGATGAGAGAAGCCAGTTAGCCACAGACAGCTGATAAACATGCTCCTCTGGTTATTATTCTTGCACACCAGGGTCATCCCACAAAAGTAGGAGGTGACTCTGTAGAATCTGTCTCTCTGATTTTCTCTCTTAGAGACCTGCAACTGTGTTCTACCCTGTTCTATTGGGCATCTCCTCCCCCGTGCTGAGTCAACCAATTCCTGACCAGTTCTCTGCTCAAGGTTCTTTGCAGCCAGGATCCAAGGTCTGCCGTGTGTACTTGTCTGGAGAGATCTGAGCACAAAACAAAGTCCCCTTTCCTACTCCTGTTGGGGACTTAATCCAGCTGTGTCCTCAACAGCACCAGGTAAGACAGAAACAGACTCTAGCTTCTTTGAAAGCATGTGTGTATGTGTGTGTGTGTGTGTGTGTGTGTGTGTGTGCACGTGCATGTGTGTATATGTGTGCGTGTGTGTGTGTGTGTGTCACAGAAGCCCTGAACTGAAAATCCAATTTCAAGTTCTGATAATGCCATTGACCAGTTAGGTGACATATTGGGCAACAGTCACTTAACTTCTCTTACGCTTCATTTCTTTCCCTGAAAAAAATAAGGATGGTGCTATGGGGTAAGAAGAATAAATAGGACTAGGCACAGTGGCCCACGCCTGTCATCCCAGCAGCTGGGGAGGCTGAGGCAGGAGGGTCTCGAGTTCAAAGCCAGCCTCTGCAAAAGCAAAGCGCTAAGCAACTCAGTGAGACCCTGTCTCTAAATAAAATATAAAATGGGACCGGGGATGTGGCTTAGTGGTGGAGTGTCCCTAAGTTCAATCCATGGTATCCCCCCAACCCCGCTGCACCAAAAATAAATAAAGAAATGGGAATACACCATGTTCAGTGGAGCCCAGTGGCTGGCCCATAGTTTACCCATCAGGCAACTCTGGCCGTGGTGGAATTGGGTGGAGAGTGCAGCGGGGGAGCCCAGGGACTGAAAGAGAACTTCACAGTGCAGAAGTTGGTCCACTTTCTATTAAATGAATGCCTTCATTCATTTTCTTTAAAAAAAAATGTATCTAAGAAGGAGTGTGGCTGGCTTTAGAATCACTGAGAGTTGAAGGGCACTTCAACATGCATTGATTGAGCTCGTATTGCATACCCTACTCAATGCTGGAAAACTGGGAAGTGGGTGTTATTATGCCCCCAAGTTCAGAGACATGAACAGTTGCAGAGAGCACCCAGATGGGGGTGGGGGGGGGCAAAAATCAAACTCTGGCTCTGAACTCCAGGATTGCCTAACACACCGAGAGCTGTTGCTTTCTTCAGTAGCTTATTAGTCCATCTTATTTATTCAAAGGCTGTGAAGTCAGAGTTTGGTTGCAGAAGATTTTCAAGGCACCTGAGTGCCTGCACATGTAGTTTGGAGGCCAGCTACCTCTCAAAGCCAAGTCCAAACTTGCCTTCAGAATAGACTTGAAACACCTCAAAGACTGTTCTTTAAAGCCATCTTCATAGAATGTTCTTGACTGAATTTTCAAATGGGTAGGAACTCTCTCCGTCTCATTAATCTCTGATAGTATCTACAACCGTTTGTGGCACATCCACAACAGATATTTTAGAAGTTAACAAATATCTTTTTCTATAGTTCAATCTATGGCCATACTGGGTTTTCTCTCCCTGGTTTTCTGAATTATGACAAAGAAGGAAAAAAACTAACCATTTATTGAGTACTTTCCTATGTGCCAAGCACTATAAGCAACAGATGGAGGACAGATATAGTTATTGATATGCACATATCAACATAGTTAGAGACAGTGATATGCATATAGGTACAATTATAAATGTAGATAAAATAATAATTATGAGGGAAGATATAGGTGTAGACACTGACGTAGATAGAGACATAGGCCTAAACATAGGTGTACAGATATAGGTATTTTTGACTTTTTCTTTCTTTCTTTCTTTCTTTCTTTCTTTCTTTCTTTCTTTCTTTTTCTTTTGGTGGGGGGTCACTGGGAATTGAACTCAGGGGCACTTGACTACTGAGCCCCATCCCCAGTCTGTGAGTCAGTGTCTCACAGAGTTGCTTAGCACCTCACTGTTACTGAGGGTGGCTTTGAACTTGGGATCCTCCTATCTCAGCCTCCTGAGCCGCTGGGATTACAGGCATGCACCACCGGGCCTGGATGACTTTTTAGTCTTCTTAACATCATGAATCAGGTTCCTCCATGTCTGTACATATCAGTGCGAAATTGGACCTGTAGTTCCTACATTCAGAAACATAGCCCCACTTCTTGTTAGGCCCTATTCTAGAGGCTGAAGGGTCATTTCTCTAGGCAGGGCTTCAGCAAGGTTCCCCAGGGAGAGTGTTATCTACTAGCTCATCTTCTGAGGGTGTGCATCTGTGCTGGGTTGATGCAGAACGCCTTTCTCAGGGTGTCTTTACATCACCACCACGAATCCAGGCAACAGGTGCTGCTATTCCTGTTGAGGTTTGCAGAGGAGGTTCAGTAGGCTGCTCACAGTTATGCAGGTGCCCAGCAAAGGGGCTGGAAGTGGAACTCTTTGATCCCTAAGGCCACACTCTCAACTGCCACACTCCTGCTTAGCTGGGCACCGGATTTGGCCGTCTTGCATAATGAAGATTAAATTCGAATTGCAACCATAAGATGATGGTGTCAAAGTCATTTATTCTGTATTCCATCAAGAGGGTTATTGGTTCATCATGACTGCAGTAGCAAATTACCACAGTCTGAATGAAAGACATTTTTTTTTTCTCCGAGTTCTGTAGACTAGAAGGCCAAAGTCAAGGTGGTTTCTTCTGAGGCCTGTCTCCTTGGCTCGTAGATGGCTGTCTTCTTTTTCTCTTGGCCTTCTCCCTCCAAGTATGCCTGTGTCCTTATCTCCTCTTCTTACAAGGCAAGCACTCATGGTATGAGGACCGATCCTAAGAACCTCAACTTCAAAGACCCTATCTCTAAAAACAGTCCCATTCTGAAGTATTGGGGATTATTTCTCCAACATGCCTTTCGGGGGAACACAATCCAGCCCAATGATGAAACAGGTTTCCTTTCATATGTCAACTTGATTAGGAATGACTCTGTAAAAGACCAACCCAGGGCAGATCTTGTAGGTTCACTCCGCCTGGTAGGGAAGGTATCGAAAGGCTAGCAGCTTCCACCCCAAGGATGGTGGTGTATGTGTTTCAGAATCCGTATGGCCTCAAGGGACAGAAATCCAATCGAGGACATGGCTGGCTCACAGAATCAAGGGTAAATGAATTTCCTCATTATATCTCTTGTTCTTTAGCCGCTTATTAAGGGGCCATTTGCACTGCCTTTGGAGCAAATAGTGAGTTAATATTTAAGGAAGACCCCCCGAGGTCATATATGTCGTAGAAAAATAGCAACGGAGTTTGGTGTTCTCACTCTAAACCAGCTCACATCTGTGCAGGGAGGTGTATGTTGGGGAAAATCACAGAGTTGGGGAAACGAAAGGGTTCTGCTGTTAAACTTGCCTTGCAACTTTGGAGATACCCGTGTCCCTCCTTAGCTTAGACTAAGCTCAAATGTCAACAGGGGCTGAGCAGCTAAGGTTACTGAAGGAGGGAGGTGCAATAAAACAGGGAATGGTGTGAACTGGGTCAAGTTGGACAATGTCCCGTGTAAATGAGGCAGAGAGTCCTCATCCCCAGCCGGTTGGTGCCAGGTTGAAATAAAAACCCAGTGTTGCTGGCCATTACTACTCTTATCCATCTACTCTATGACGCTATTGTCCAAGAGTATTACTGTCAAAACTAAGGGAGGGTGGCCTTGTGAGTGATAAAGTGCTTGAATCTTGTTTGCCAAGTGGAAAACATCTATCTGTTCAGTGAACATTTTCATGGATAGATCCAGACGTTGCCCTGTAGCCCATAAATATGCAAAATTATCATTTGTAAAATTATTATTTGTCAATTTAAAAATAAGATTAAAAAAAAAAACAACTAACAAGCGTCTATTCCATGAAGACCCTATGTCTAGTCTAGGGCCTACACCCTTCAATATAGTCACTCCTATGATAAAATTAGAGTCTGTCGGAGTCTTTAACTCCACAATCTAGTTATCATCCTCAGTGAGTCCATCTCAATCCAGTCTGTAAAATCTAAAGCTAACTTCCAAACACAGAGTCTCTGAAAGGATTTTCTAACATAAAACGACACAAAATAAAGCCATTTTCATGGAAAGGTAGATTCTCACATAAGCCAATTTTCATATTCAAAATTCAAGAAGAATCTTAATAAATGAGAGTTCTGCTCCCATGTTGAAAACGTCTTTCAGGCTCCAGAAGGACCAACAGGTTTCCTTTCGTGTGTTAACTCGGATGGATCGGGAATGGCTGCCCAGGAGAACCTAGGGAAGATCTCGTGGGTATATCCCAGTCCAGTGGGGAAGGGGGCTCTGAGACTAGCAGCTTCTTCCCTGAGGATGGTGGTGTATGTGTGTTAGAATCCACTCGGTTTCAAGGGATGGAAACCCAGTCTCAGGCAAGGAGGACATTGTTGGCTCACAGAGTATAAGCGAGAGTGGCAGAGGCTGAAGGGCCTCTCAGGAGCAATATAAAGCAGGGATTTGAATGTCTCCAGAATTCTGCTACCCTCATCTCCATCTCTCTAAACATAAGCTTCCCTCTTTTCACATGATAGGAATCATAGACACAGTTCCCCAAATGTGCATTTTGGGGCTTCCCCTAGTGAGAGTCAGCCATATCTATTCTTTGAGCACGCGTGCGCGCACGCGCGCGCACACACACACACACACACACACACACTCACACACACACGGAGAGGGATTCTGACTGACCCAGATTGGGTTACTAACATCATTAGAAATGACTGCACAACCCTGAACCAAACACCTTTAGTCAGGGTTATCTGAAGACGTAGCCATTTCTAATGGGAACCACCAGACTACATATGGTGGGAAGAGTGGTCTCTGGAATAAAGACCGACTGGGGTACAGAACTTCCAAAATGACCCGTTTCTACCACAAGGAGAATGGCTGGCCATACGGTTGCCATCCTTGACTTAAATCCAAAGTTGCTGAAGGAGAAGGCCACCATGAATGTGTACCAACCTCATGCAGCACACTGTACCCCAAGGTTGCCCAGTGGAGAAGATAAATCCCCACCTACATCAATAAGCTGTGCCTTCCAGCCCCTGGTGAACAGAAACAAAGCTTTCACTCTAACCAGGAACTGAGAACACTCATCCTTTTTGTGGGAACGTTTCCTGCTGCATGGTCAACCGGTAAGCCGTCTCTTCCCAAGGCAGGTGGTGACCTGAGAATTCCGTGTCCACTTGCTGAGGACTGCCCCACTATGCAGTGGCTGATGAGATTCCGGGTCCTCTGTGGCATCCACAAATCCTTCCACATCTTCCACCCTGCCCCTCGGCAGGTGGGCCGCCAATCTTCATCAGGACTTAGAGCCCCGAGGTGGAGTGACCATGATACACCTGAGGAATTCAACTTCGCCAGCTCGGTGGTGGACTACTGGGCTCAGATGGAGAAGGTAAGAGTGCATTGTGTGGAGGGCAGAGAGAGGGTCCGTCTCAGTGGGCCTGATCTTGTTTTTATTAGGTGTTTCCAGAGAAACTAGTCCCTGGGGCCTCCAGAATATTCCTCCTCTAGCACACGGCTCATCTTTTCCCAAGACACAGACCAAGAGCAAAATAGTGATGGCACGAGAAGTTAGAGTGGTAAATGGGTGGTGTGTCCGGCTACTAAGTCTCAGCCACACTGTGAAAATTCACCCAGAATCCATTTTGGTACAAAGAGAGAATTCACCTGAGATGGAGTTGGAGTGGATAAAAATTTTTTTTTATGAACCCCATGAACATGCATCCATACATTATTATTCGAGGCTAATATGCCTTCTCAAATGTCTTTCTCTCCACCCTCTTTTTCTTCCTTTTTCGAAATTTTCATAATAACCCCAGACTGTCCACATCCAGTTATGCTAGGGAAGTGGTATGGGTTGCTGAGAGACCAAAGAAACCTGGAGATGGCATGTGAGACATAGGGTTAATTAAAAACGAGCTTATAGGGAAGGTCCTAAGGTGATGCACTAGACAAATAGCACCTCCATCCCTCATAGGGCTTAGTACAGTATTGTAGATTACTGGACCCTCCCTACAGCGCTCTGTTTCACACCAGTTACTGCAGGGGGTGGGGGATTTTATTGGTTAGTGTACATAAATAGTGATATCATAGTATGTGATATCAATGGAACATCATTGTTCCCTTGTATAACCATAATTTCAAGGAGTAGATTATCTTGGCATATGTGTAAGAATGCAGATAACATGTTGCACTAAAATGTATTGCATGTATGAGAATCAGTGTCCTTCATGATAATCCTTATCTGGGCATTCCAACCTATATGCTTATTCTCATTGGTCACTAGTCTTGGCTAGGTTCTCAGAAAGGGAAAGAGGCATTTCAGAGACATGATATTTACTTTCCTCAATTTTTTTCAAGGATAACATAAACCCTAAGAAAAATAGAGCCTTTCATTACAGAGAACATTTTGTTTTACGTCGGTCACTTTGCATTTAATCCTTTGATTTTTATGAGCAGTTATGGTCCTCGTCTTCCACACGAGGAAACTGAGGCTCCAAGGACTTAAATAACCTGCTGGTGGAGGAGCAGAATTTGGTGCCCGGGATGACGGCTTTCATAATCCATTATTTAACCAAGTCTCAAAATGTGATGAGGTCAGATTTTGCCTTCAGAGCATAAATTGACTTTCTGCAATGCCCAAACCAGAAATCTGGTTAAGAACTTTGGAACATGAAATGAACCAGAGAGGAAGTAGAAAGGAAGAAGCAATGGTATATATCACCTTTTCCCTGGTTATGTCCCTAAAGTTCTGATTAATAAGTTGACGCACCAACCTGTGGATTTAACAACCAAGTAAACATTCCCCCCCCCCGAGAGAATGCTAATCTTTGTTGGGCTTTATAACATCATTATCAGTCCCTGCCAATTTCTCCATATCTCCAAATCTTTCTCACTCCCAGCATCCCATTGGTATTCATTCTCAAAATATTTCTTGGCTGTCTTTTTTCTGTTTTACCAATTGCCTTGGTCATGATCAGTAACTTAGACTCATTCAGTGACTCTCTCTAGAGACTTGTCTGGTACCTAACATAATAGTTGCTCACTGCAGTTGTAGAATAAACTAATTTTGGTACATGCCTTGCTACTTACTCCATAAGGTCCTCTCTGGCTTCCTGAACCTCTCCTTACCGATTAACAAGCATCACACAGAAACCGATCCATGACCTAATCAATGGCAATGCCCGAACCATTATAGAGTGACAGCATTTATATTGACTCGGGTTTTTTTTCAACATATTTGAATTGTAAAATGTAAGTTAGAAATGCAAGAGTTTTTGGTGAAATATTTTGATCATTTTGGTCTTGGCCAAGAATTCCTTATAAAACAAAATGGAGCTTGTAAACTAGACAACATGGTCCATGAGTGGAATATAGTTACTTATTGAGGCCACCCAATTTGTAACCCATGGTTGCTCTTGGGAAACCAGATTATGTATTATTATAATCTCCTAGGATAGTATATTTAATTCCAGTTGATTTCTGGAGCAGCATCCAAATTTATTCATGAGAGATTCATGTCAACATTTATTCATTCTGTTTCTAATTAACTTTATTCATTCATTCATCTAAGATTTGATGAACACCTAAGACGTACCAAGAACTATTCTAAATAATGGAAATAGACAAGTAAATAAAACAAATGTACAAGTCTTCACTTACTTTGCATTTTGCCAATTGCTTTCTTCATGTGTTATAGCTTTTTTGTTCCTCATTTCCTCTCTCTCTCTACTTTCATGTTTCGTTGATCTTTGATAGTGACATGATTTTATTTTATTTTTCTCATTTCCTTTGGAATATCTGGAAACTATAAATATTTCCTTTGTGACCACCATGAGGATTTCACAAAACATGCCGTGCTTATAACAATCTACTTAAAAAAAAATGATAATAACCGGCCAGGTGCAGTGATGCATGCCTATAATCCCAGCAGCTCAGGAGGCTGAGACTGGAGGATCACGGGTTCAAAACCAGCCTCAGCAACAGTGAGGCACCACTATACAGCTCAGGGAGACCCTGTCTCTAAATAAAATACAAAATAGGGCTGGGGATGGGGCTCAGTGGTTGAGTGTCCCTGAGTTCAATCCCCTGTGCCAAAAAGAAAAGAATAAAACTGAACTTCAGTCACATACAAAAATTCTTCTCCTTTACAGTTTTTTTACCCACTGTATGTTGTCACAAAGGACGTCCTTATGTAGTATGCACCCATTAGCAAGAATTTAGAATATTTTATGCCTTATATTTTAAATAGCATAAAGTTATAAGCCAAAATTAAAATAATGATGATTCTCATATTGGAACATGTAACTACCTTTATAAAAATGATGTTTTCATATTTCACATTTTCCTTAAGGCATCAAGAAAATAATTAACAAGATGTGAAGGGTCATCGGTTTTGTTTACTTTTCTACCCCCATCATTTAGGATATTATAAGGCAATTCTAGTGAAACTCCATCAACTTTTGTTTATCTGAGAATATACTAATTTCTTCCTTAGTTTTGAAGAAGAACTGCTGGGTATAGAGTTCTTGGCTGATAGGATTTTTTCTTCTTTTTTTATTTAAGCACTTCAGATATATCATCTCACTGCCTTCTGGCTCGAACGTTTTCTGCTGAGAAATTTGTTAAAAATGTTCTTAAGGATCTCTTGTACACAATGAATCACGGTGAATTGATTTTATTTTACTGCTTTCAAGACTATCTATTTGTCTTTGGCTTTCATGTTTTGATTATAATGTGTCTAATTATGGTTCTCTTTGGGTTTATCCTTCTTAAAGATGTTGAGTCTCTTGTCCAGGTCTTGCCTCAAATTTAGGAAGTTTGGGCTTTACTTCATCAAATAAGTTCAATGTACCTTTCTCTCTTTGTTCTCCCTCTGGGACTCCCAAAATGCGTATATTGTTGTGCTTGGTAATATGCCATAGGTTTCTTAGGCTCTGTTCATTTGTTGTTAATTCACTTTTCTTTTTGCTCCCCAAATCCAATAATTTCAAATAAACTGTCTTCAACTTTACTCATGCTTTTCTTCTACCTGTTTGAATCTTCTGGTGACCCCCTCTAGTGAATTTTCAAATCAGTTATACTGCAATTTGGGGCTCCTGAATTTCATTTAGTTCTTTTAAAAAATAAAATAATTAACTCCCCTTTGTTAATGTTATCACTTGTTCATTTAGTTTTCCTGATTTTCTTTAGGGCTTTGTCTATGTCTTCCTTTTGCTCTTTGAGTATAGTTAAGATAGTTGTTTTAAAATCTTCACCGAGAAACCGATGCCTACATTTCTTTAGGGTAAGTTTTTGGAGATTTACTTTGTTCCCTGGAATAGTCCATGTTTCCCTGTTCCTCTGTGTGCTTTGTGAGCATTTGGTGTGGAGGAAGACACTTGTCTCAGTCTTGTAGACTGACTCCCTACAGATGAAAACCTTCACCAGTTTGCCTGGCTTAATAGATTAATGTCAGCTCAGGCCTTTTCAGAAAGTTGTTTTCCTAGGGCCTGTTTAAGTGCTCCTCCTCCCACTAATTTTCCCATTTACCTGGAAGTCTTTAAATGTCGTAATGGCCCTAGACACCTCATCCTCAATTCTTCTCAGGATCTTGGATGTCCAGTCGTATTTCTCTGTCCATCATCTCTTGCCCCCAGTCACCATGATACCTGATGCTGCTTTCAGAGATCTGCAATCTGATACTCAAACTCTGCTTTTCCTCTGAATCAGGAAGTACAGAAACCAGTTGCTCAGGCAGTCCGGTGCCAAGCCAGAACATTGCAAACAAGTTAGACTCCTTTTCTTCTCTCCTGAGAGAGGAGTCAGGAGTTGGGTGGTTTACCCTTGACTGCAGTGCGCCACCCCAAGCATGGGGAAGAGGCAAAGATAAACAAAAACATCACAAATCTTTCTACATTTTAACTGTTTTTTTTTTTTCTTGCTTGCTGTGGGCATTTGCTTGATTGCTGAAGATCCTTGACTAATTTCTAGAGCTCCCAGAAGATATTTTAGTAAATCTGTTGTTGTTTACTTGAAGTTTCTGAAGAAATAAGGGCCTGGAGAGTTTGCTAACTTGTTATCCCGACCTCTAGAAGTACCTTTTTAATTTTTTAAAATCTCAAAATATTTAGCAATCAAGTGATGCTCTTTTGTTTTATTTTGTTGTGATAATATTGAGCCCTTACTTTATGCCAGATACTCTTATAAGTATTTTTCTCATTAACTACCTCAAACTCTACTAACTTCTAGGCCATATAATTATTCCCATTTCATAATGGAGACACTGAGGCATAGAGAGAAATCCACTGTCCAAACAGAACTCATAGAGAAACATGAAGAAACAGAATCTTAAATCTTCAGTAGAAGACATGAAGGCTGTTTGTGCATGGTCTTATGGGATCTGAGGTGGAGGGGGCTACAGAAGGGCAGAAGTTGGCTGGGTCCTCACCTCATCTCCCAAACTCTCTTGGCTCCATATATGTTTAAAGTGGAATCTGGGTCCTTGAGCTACGCTCACCCAGCCATGTGACCACGACAATGGATTGTCCAAAGAAGTGGCCGTTTCCTTTGAAGCAGGAAGTAACACATGGCGTGTGATCTCGCCTAGGAGGGCAAGAGAGGTTCAGAGACAGCCCTGTGGTGGGTGAACGGCCAAGGCGATGAAGTGAAGTGGAGCTTCCGGGAGATATCCGAGTTAACCCGCCGCACAGCCAACGTCTTCACACAGGCCTGTGGCCTGCAGCAGGGAGACCATCTGGCCTTGATTCTGCCACGCGTGCCTGAGTGGTGGCTGGTGACCGTGGGCTGCATCCGGACAGGTCAGTGACTCCAGGGGTCCTGAGTGGTCCTCAGGACGCCCTAGAGCCGGTCAGTCCTGGGATATCAGGTTCTGGGCACCCAGCCTGGCACAGGAGTCCCTGCTCTCTTGCTGGAACCATGGGCCAGGCTCCCTGGGCTCTGGCAATTCTTCTCACACACTCATTCATACATTCTCAAGCACAATGTCATTAATGCCAAAATTCTCTCTCTCTCTCTCTCTCTCTCTCTCTCTCTCTCTCTCTCTCTCTCTTGCACACATGCACATGCTTTCTCTTGCATGGTCTCAGACATTTTTGTTTTTTTAAAGATTGATCAATTGTTAACATTTTCCCATATTTAAGTGATCGCTCAGTCTCTCTCTCTCTCTCAGTGAAACATTTAAGAATTGGTTGTGGACACTGTGATACCTACCAACAGTAGGCAAATGCTTATAAACACAAGAGAATGCATCTGTCAAAATCCAAGACAATCCCTTGACAGAATACAATAGTGTTATCATTCGTGAGAAGAGTAACATCAGCACAACACAGTACCCAACACACGCGCCCAGAGTTCAAGTTTCTCAGCGGTACCAATAATATCCTTTGTAGATATTATTTCTTTAAGCCTAATGAAGTATCATGCATTGTATTTAGTTGTCATGTCTCCTTAATGTCCTTCAATGTAGAATGGCCCCCCACCTCTTCTGCATGACAAGGACAGTTTTAAAGAGTCCAGGGCCAGTTGTCCTGTCTCTTCCTGCATGGTTCTATTCAGGTTACGCACTTTGGGTAGGGTTAGTCCCAGGGAAGGTGGGGTCTTTCTCAGTGTGAGCATCCTGATCGTCTATAGTAATTATTCCACTACTTGAACAAGGTGGTATTCACCACTTTTTTTTTTTTTTAGCAGTAATCTGTATGAGACTGTGTGAATGTCCCATTCCCCAAGAGTCTTTACACTATGGTTGACTCCAATCAGAATTATCCATCAGTAATTTTCAACTGAATTAAGTGACATTATGATTGTTTTATACGGAAGTGTCTATCTATATCATATTCTCTACATTTATCAGTTGGAATTCTTTTGTAGAGAGTGCCCTTCCTCTGGTAACTACCTATATGGCTTTTATCCATGCGATTCAGAACCAACATGGGACTCATGGTTACTATTTCTGAATCACATCTTATTCCATCATGCTACACCCCTGTCCTGCATGCTCTTTCTTTCTCTCTCTCTCTCTCTCTCTCTCTCTCTCTCTCTTTCTTTCTCTCTCTCTCTCTCCATCTCATTCAACCAGGTTATTTAGAATCAAGAATTAACATCAGGGATGGGGATGTAGCTCAAAGGTCGAGTGCTCATCTGGCACATGTGAGGCACTGGGCTCCACCCTCAGCACCACATAAAAAATAAATAAATAGAATAAAGGTACTGTGTTGACCTACAACTAAAAAAAATATTTAAAAATATAACAAGGACAGCAGAGGAAGTGTAGAGCTTAGAAATGATCCATGGGAAATCCAAGACCTGATCGAGCTGAGTCCCCTGGGATGAGCAGAATCACCGAGGGTTAGAAGCGAAGGAACAGCATGCCAAGCACGGGCTTAGAGTCAGGAGTGGCCTATGTGAAGACTGGCCGTTTTTGAAATAGAGAAGAGCTGTGAGAGAGGAAGATGGCAGGTGGGCAGCCCTGCAGAATCGGGATGGGCAGGGTGGTCTCACGGAGAGAGGGCACAGGCATTAGAGCAGAAAAGAAATGTGGAGGGGAAAAGGTCGGTGTCTTATGGAACTTGGGTGGCAGGAAGGTTCCCAAAAGGGCATTCAGAGGAGGGAAGGGGATCCCGCAGAGGGAGGCCGCAGGCTTCAACTCACTGTTGGTGATAGAAATGGAAGAGAAGGTAGACAAGTTCAAAAGACCATGCTGCTAAACTGGGAATGAGCAAAAGAGAGGAAATTTGAGATGAAACTGGGAGAGAAAGACATTAGAGGGGTGAAGATGGGCCCTGGAATGCAGCCGGTCCTGATGTTGGGGACACAGTCCTATTCGCAACTGTGTCCCCAAATCTGGAATAAATTTGTGTAAACCTGGCTCCACCTGTCCTCTGGATGAATCCATAGAAAGCAGAAAATTTAGGGCAAGGCTTACAATTTTACCATGTATATAATCCCTCTGGGACTTTGTTAAAATGAAGATTTTGATCCAGCAGGTTTGGCGCAGGGTGCGAGGTTCTGCATCCCAGGTGGACGATACCTTGCCTAGCAAGAGGTCAGGGGATGTCTCTGCAGATGAGCCAGGCCTGAAGCAAATGGTGGTGAAAGAACCTGAAACAAGCCGTTCCTTGTTGTCCCCAGGCATTGTCTTCATGCCCGGGACTACCCAGCTGACTGCCAAGGACATCATGTACCGACTACAAGCATCTAAAGCCAAGGCCATTGTGACCACAGATACGCTTGCCCCTGCGGTGGACTCTGTGGCTTCTGAGTGCCCCACGCTGAAAACCAAGCTGCTGGTGTCTGATCACAGCCGTGAAGGGTGGTTGGACTTTCGGTCACTGATCAGGTGAGTTTCTGGTCTGATAAATGTGGGTGGTGGGGAAAGGGCATCCACTCCCAAGACCTGGGAGACAAGCAGCCAGTCATCTGAAGCTCACAAGGTTAGATGTCAGAAACTCTCTCTTCCCAGCTGAGTTATCTGCTCTATGATCCTGGGTTAGTGCCTTCCCCTCTCTGGGTCTTGGCTGCTTTATCTGTAAGGAAGTTGATATTCCAAGCATCTCTCACTCAGCCTGGATATGTATATAAAGGAGAAGTTTAAAGAGAGAGGGCTGCTTTGTCACATACTCCTTGCAGATAGGGGATTGAAAAAATCTTACTTTTATATAAAAAAGCATATATGAAGAAGTTTCGTGAAATGTAAAAATGAATTTTTGTAAGGCCAAGCTTAAGGCTGCAGGACAAATTGAACTGCTTTTCTGGTGGACCTGAAGCTTCAAGCATAAACACTGCATCAGCCGAGAACTAGGGGCCCATGGGACACCATGGGATTAGGTGGGGTAAGAGAGACTCCTTTCCCTCCAACTCGGATTCTGCAAGCACTCAGGCTGATTTTGTATCCTACGGACAAACCGTACTGGGTTTGTGTCCTTGGAGAAGCACCTCAGTTTCTAAAGCTCCTCATTTCAACCTCAAAATGCAAACATCACAGCAAAGTTACATGTTATGCCGAAGCCAAAGGATTAAATGAGAAAACCTTAAAATTAAAGAAAACTCTTAGAACACCATTCCAATGGCCCAAGGCAAGAGGGTGCCATTTGGCAGGGAGAGCAGCAGAGCCAGGGCCTCCTGCAGTGCTGAGACCATCTGCAGCTTTCTCTGAACACTGCAGGAAGCTGCCATTTACCGTCAGAGTTGCCAGGAGCCTCTCAGCCAGGAGGTCCTCAGAGTCACAGCAGACGGAAGGAGCCACAGATCCCACCTGCCAGCTCAAGCCCGTCCAGACCAGCGATCCCACCCAGCCTTCCACTCTCCTCCCCTGCTTTCTCTCCCCTCCTCCTCAACGCCAAGGTCTGGAGTTAGATTGCTGTGAAGCTACTTTGTGTCAATCACAAGCTTAGCAGGGAGGTTAGGAGCCCAGACCACAGTCCAGAGGGTCTGGGGTGGATCCTGGCTCTGCCCTTGCTATGTCTCCAGGCAAGTTCCTCCTCTGCAAAATGGGCCTCCTGAGGGCCGTGCTCCCCTCTGGGGTGGCTCTGGGCATGGACTGAGCTCCTCTCTCTCAAAGCTCAGGGCGTGGCCTGGGACACAGCAAGTGCTATGGGAGTGTTCATTGGTTTTCTTAGAATCCACTCTATTTTCTCCATCACCCCCTCCAATCCCCAGCCAACTGGCCAAGGCAACCCCACAGTCACTCTAATGGCTGACCCTGGAGGGCTCCGTTTCTCCCCAGTGTTGCAAATTCCAGTTTCCTGACTCCGTGCTTCTTTTGGTTCCCAGAAGATGGAGAAACAGCAAGCGTGACATCTTTTCTTTTGTCTTGAATCTCTTTGCAGATCAGCGTCCCCCAACCACACCTGTATTAAGTCAAAGACGTGGGATCCCATGGTCATCTTCTTCACCAGTGGGACCACGGGGCTCCCCAAGATGGCAAAGCACAGCCACGGACTGGCCTTAAAGTCCTGCCTCTCCTCCAGGTAGGAAGAGGGCACCAGCTCAGAGGCTGGCCCCCAGGTCTGGTGCCAGCGGTGTGTGCCCGTGTGCAGGGTGGGCCTCGCGGCTCTCTGTAGGAGGGTCTCCATGCTGGGCCTCCTGTCTGCTCTCTGCTTCAGCCCACTGAGGGTCCCGGAGGTGGAGTCCCGAATCCTGAATGTTGACAGAGACTCAGAAAAACAATAAGGAGGCCCTGGGGGTCCTACCTGAGCACCTCCACAGGTGTGTGGAGGAGATGTGGGTGGGGACAGCAGGCATTCTGCAAGTCACACAAATGACAGGTGGTCAACAGTGGGGAAAAGAGAAGGGTCTCGCAGTGTAACCCGAGGCAAGAGGGCCCCTCCTCTTCTCTATTTTGGATAAATTGAACTTGGAGTTTCCCGACCATGAAGTACTTGGGAAGAAACTATCTAGAACTGAGTTACACCAAGTCACTACCCCGGCCTTGAACCAGGAATCCGTAGAGCTGAAGCTGGAGCTTTGTGTTAATCACTTAACCAACTTTAAGCTGAGCCTCTCCTGCCCACCCCTCCTCCTCTGCAGTTAGTGATATCCTAACCAGACACACTCCACCTATTTTCTGACTCAGTAACTAGAACAAGGGGCAGAAGTGGCTCCTTGTGGGCAGGGGTGTGAGTGCTAAGGGTAGCAGCTGAGCACCGAGATCCCAGGAGGAGAGAGAAGGGAAGGAGGTTGGTGCATTTGGACTAATACGTCCAAACACAGAGATATAAAAAGCATTTGTAGATTTATATTATGAAATCCTATAGAAAGTATATTCATCGGATTGTAGAGATCTAGGATGGCCCTGAGCATGAAGGACAGAAGACCAATGGAAGAGCTGGAGAGTGAGCAAGGCCCAGGTTGGGCAGGCTCTGGGGGCCTCCATGTGGAGTTTGGGCCTCAGGAGGAGGAAGATAATGAGGAGGTGCTGAAGGGTTTGGGTGGTGGGGAGATGTGGCCAGATTTGCTTTTTGAAAAAGTCCCTGTTGTTGCAGGACAGAGAAGGAGTTGGAGAGAGTTGGAATGGAGGTGGGGAAGACCAGGTGCCACCTCTTAGAGTAGTCCAGATGCGGAGAGTGGCCTGCACCAGGTGCCAGGGACGGGAAGGACGTGAATACACTCGAAATTGCAGGAGGCAGAGCGGGCGGGACCTGCTGGCTGGGTGTGGGGATGAGGAAGGTCAAGGTTAGCCTCCAGATATGGGCTGAGACGTGATGATGTGCACAGAAGGGAGGACGCTGGAGGAGAATCAGTCAGAAGAGGCACGAGGAGAGATTAGGAACTCTGGGCTTGGGGTGCCTGAGAGACCCCAGAAGAGGTGCTCACGGGAAGCTGAGCTGAAGCTCAGAAGAGAGGCCCCTCACTCCTGATTTCCTGGGGTGCAGCGCACCCCTAAGAGGGTCAGGAGGGGGGCTTGTGGGGGGCTTGTGAGGGCCCCTCCCTGCTAACAGAAAAGCTCCTCCAGCCACAGCCCGCTCAGGGGAGTGTTGAGCTTCCTCAAGGATCTGTGCACACAGAGGTCCCTTAGGAGCAGCAGGAGGCGGGCAGAGAGGTGACAAACCCTCCCTACTCCACCTCCAGTTACAGCCCTTTGGCTAATTGCTTCCTGTCCCTTGCCAA